CTGAAGTATATATTTTTGTATTTTTAGAAGTATTAATTTATCAACCAAAGATGCGACATTTTACACTTCAGGCTTATGTAGCTCAACCTAAAGCTGTTTTTTCAGTACTTACGAATGTGAGGTGTTCACCTAGTTGATTAATTTTTAACCTCACTATATAAAAAATATAATATATATATAAAGATATTATCTATATTATATGAAGAATAATGTATGTCATTACATTTTTTCACTAGTAGAGATCTTCATTTATCAATCTGAAGCTTTTAATATTAAACCTTCGACAGTAATTGCTTCTTTTGTTAAGTTATAAAAGAAGGTTTTAAATGCATAATTCTTCTGTAATTTTAATAGATTGAATTAAATCATCTTAAAATAACACTTATCCAAATTCTACAATTAGTAAAAACTATTTATGGGAACTCATATTTTTAGAAAATAGTTGTCTAATGTGCTTGAATTTCTTATGCTATAAAACTACAAATTTAAATAATTAGTCAGCTGATATTCAAATACTTTTATTTAAAACTAAAATGTAATTTTTTTGCAAATCAACAAAATTATTTTAATACTGTTTCCGTCTACCAGTTGAAACTTGTAATTATTGGAACCTAAAAGAAAAAAAAATGAATTAGTAAGTAAGTCATATTTTTAATAGTGGCAGGTTTTAAACTATTAAAATATTAGAAATTTTTTTTTTTTATGATTTAAATTAACTGGATGAAGTTAATTTTCTTTTTTAGATAAATAGTAGTACTCTTCTGCCATTTCTATTCAATCCTCATAGCTAAAAAGCATGACAGATACCACAGCCACAAAATAAAGTACACTGAAGTCAGTACTACCATTAACAACATTTACAGAAATTCAAAGATATAATTCCAATCTTAATATGCAATTTTAACACTTTGTATTTTTCTATACATTTGGTATCATTATGGTACTTGTAAGTGTGATAATTATATTTTCTTTCTTTCTTTTCTTACAAATCTTTAAACTCAATAAACCTAGTCTATATATATTTTAAAACTTTTTGTCAGACTTTATGAAACTAATAGCTTTTTTATAAATTTTAGACGATGATTCTGAAAAGTACTTCCGTTATTGTCAATCACATATAAGAGTTTCTTAAAAAATAGTTATTTTAATATTTTTTAATAAATGTAATCAAGAATCAACAATCGTCTAATAAATTAAATTTTAAAGTTATGTACCAATTTTTATTCTTTTTTTACACTCAATCGAATAGAACAAATTACAAGTTGATAAGGAGCATTCATTTTAAAGTTGTGAGTAATTTTATGTGAGGAAAATGTCTAAGAGAGAATGACTTGAAATAATACTTTTAAAATAAGTTGAGTACAATATCTCCTATATAGTTTATAATACCAAGCAGAATAAAACTAATAGCTAGTTGTTACAAACATTTGTTTAAATATAAAAACACATCCCTTAGGATGAAATTCAAAAAATTGCATATTACTTTTAACAATAAATGTCTTTATTTGCAATTGATTTTATTCAATTCAGCATTATTAAAATTGCATAAGAAACTACACTGGCTTATTTCTAAAACATTTAAGATTTCCGAAAGTCGCTAATTTTTGAAGTAGTGAACTATAAACAGCTGGATAAAAATGCTCATAACCTTGAAACAAATTGTCATATAAACTTGAAATCGGGTTAAATTTAATTCTATTCAATATTTTAATAAGTAATAACAATCTGCTTTGTAAATAATTAACGAGGGTAAATTGAGAAAAAATAACGCGTAGTGAAAATAGCAGTGTGATCAAACATAAAAAAGTGAGCTAGTACAGTTACTAGTTTTCAGTTATCAAATATCTAACAAACTATTGTTATCAACAATTGAATAAATGCTGTAGTTTATTAGGAGAGATTACTTTTTCTTTATGGTATGAATTCAGAACTATTTCCTAGGGGAAGGCTGAGCAGTAACTTGCTCTTCATCGCTGCTGCACATGTGCTATTTACAGCCTAGGTCATCTCAGCAATATCAGGGAACAGTGGATAAGCTCTATAAATATNTGTTGAATATAATATAACAACCGAAGGAGATTTCTCGCGCTTTTCGAGTTATGCAAAAGAGCTGGAAACCTTGGCCCTCCTATTATCCCTAACTAAGGTGGTCTATGAGTTTTCAAACGAAGTTATTAAAAAAATGAAAAACAGTGGGAGGTTAAAATTGTTTAACGCTCGTCACCTACTTTGTTTTTATTATTAGCGGTTCCCTTTCATATTTCACTCCCCCAGTTATAAAAAGAGTTCCTCGAAAGACCTCGATGTCTTCTTTTCGAGCCCTCGAGGAAAGGTTAAATGTTGGATGCTTTTTTTAATTCTGCCATAACTTGAAAAAAAAATTAGTAAAATTTTTAATTAAAAAAATAATCGTTGATGTTGATTGATTTTGCGCCTTTTTGAAATAATGCGCCCATGGCATTCGCCATACTTGCCATACCCTAGATACGCCACTGGCTATAGTATACCCAATTACAACCTTTACGAGGTATAATTTTTATTGCTGTTTTCTGTGTAACCTTAAATATACCTCAAATCAACCTTAATACCTCAAAAATACCTCAAATCAACCTTAAATATACCTTAAATTTTCGTAAGGGATGCACTTCGAGATGTTTATCTAGAAGTCTATAGCATAAACTGCTGTTAAAGAGATTTAAAAATAACGAGATGAATAAAATCTACCACGTGTTTCTCATTTCTCTGAGAGTATCCCTCAGAGAAATGAGAATCCGGTCGCCAGGTCGTATAATTTAAATCCAGGGTGACAGTCAGGATTCAAACACGCTACCTCCTCGCTTTACACTGCGTTGGGTGGGCAGTCCCGCAGCAGACTGATCGTTAAGACGTGGTTCCCAGCAGATCACCGAAGTCAAGCATCACTGGCTGCGGTCAGTGTGCGGGTGGGTGACCACTTGGATCAGTCTGCGTAGAGACCGAGGGTGTGCGGTATTGGTCCTCGTTAAACTGTGCTACCGTAAAGTGCTCGAGTTCGCGCGCAGGTCGTCGGGCTACCGAAGCGGGGGTGCCATCCCCTCCGCAGAGGATCAAAATTGTGATGGCATGTTTTTGGATCATCCTCCGGGATGTTTCCCAGACCGTCGCCAATAGCCCATTGTGCAGCTCTAGTGACGACGTAAATTAACAACAACAGCGTTGGGTGGGCTATACCGCTCGGCACCTTTTCGGCTGTATCTAAATTACCAAAGCAACTATTAATCGTAATCGAAAATGAATTGTAATATCAAAACAAAATTCACCGCAACGCTTTCTGCTCTCCTGTCAAGTTTAGCCTTTGTGTCAAGTAACCGGCTAAATATGCTCTCGTTATTAATGTAGCTGTCTTTATTGGTTTTAAGGTTTTATCTAAGTGTGGTTTGTTTTTCTGTATACTTAAGAATCAATATTCTGTGTCCTTTCTGTCTCTTAAAGTTTTACTTTGCAAAAGTTTAGATATTAGCTTTATTGTAAATGGATGGAAATCCTTTTGAAGTTTTTCTTGCTTGAATAAATCAATTTAATTTAAGTATATATTCGAAGTTGTCTTGCCGAAAATAGCTATATAAATAATTTTTATTTAATCTTTTTTACTGTTATGCGAAATTATTTAAAAATATGCAAGGATATGGGTGTTTTAATTCTTTTTCATTGTTTTTATTGTTGATAGACCGTTTGAAGTGTGCTTATTAAATTATTTCTTGGATTAAATCGTTATTTGTTTGTATTTTATTGCTTGCCACCTGATATATGAATATCATATTTATCATGATTATATTTACATATGACTGATTAGTAGGATATTTCCTGGAATTGCAACAAACAGGAAATAAACATTTTTTCCTGAAATTTATAAAGGTCCAAGAAATTGAGCAATATTGATTGTACAGAATAATCAAAGTAGTCATAACAAATGTAATGTGTTCAAAGTTTTTTAATTTTAACCGTAATTATGATGCGATTAATATATTATAAATGTACATTCTTACAAAGCTTGTATTTGTCTTAGGTTTAACAAAAAATAATTTTTCAAAGATATGGTATGATTTTAAACATTAAAAAGTTTGTTTGAAGGTTATTTTACTCCAATTTGTTTTCCTTAAATGAATATTTAATCCTTATCTACCTCAGTAGCTTTTATTTTTAGGATTACCACAAAATTGAATTAAGTGTTAGACATTTTTCAATTCACGTCAATAGTTTTTAATTGATTTTGGTAATTGATATTATGGTAATTTGTGCAGCTTCAGGGGTCTGTCCAGGCCAAATGTACTACAGTTTAGCGGTACCTTCACAAATTCAATTTTCGAAAAAACTGTAGTTTCACAAAATACTTTTTCTTAAAATTTTATTTTTGTATCTCGTAAGAAACTATAAATCCTTATTTTTACCATATTTTTGTGTTGATTTATTAATATAATTTTTAATTTTCACAAATGTCAAAATTTTCACAAAATAGGTACCTCTCAGAAGAACCTATACAACTGAGTTTTAAAAAGTGCATTAAAGGTCAGGCATTATGGAAATTTCTCTACATTTCGCTTTTCTGAAACACATAACTTTCGAATTTTCACTATTTCTAAATTTTTGTATCAGAATAATATCACAATGAAAATATTAGGATTTTTAAAACTATGATTTTTAAATCTATAGCATTAACTGCTGTAAAAGAGATTTAAAAACAACACAGGATTTATGATCAGGGTCTGTCCAGGGCAAATTCACTACCGTTTAGCGGTACCTTCACAAATTCAACTTAAGGAAAAATGGTGGTTTCACAAAATACTTTTTTTTAAAAAAGCAAGTTCTAAGATTCTCTCCCGCTTCTTAAAATTTTGTTGTTGTAAAAATGATAAACCCTGGGTTAATTATGCATTTTGATTTCCAATGGAACTTTTCCCGTATATTGCTATTATTACATAGTAGAAAAATTTGCTTTCCACAGGTTTGTAAGAAAAGCACTTTTCCTCCCCATTCATGGCTGAAAGCATGCCGGGATCCCAAAACGCAATGGGAGAAAAGGAGTATCAACAACTCCGTTCCTTAATTAAAGTGGAAGAAAAAATGCTAGGACCATGCAAACGCCGCTCTTATTGTAATCTATGGGAAAAAGGAGCTTTTTTGAATAAAATGAGCTCTTCTATGAATAAGTAGTATGTGTTTGGTCAGTTAGTGCGGTGTGTAATCGTATCCATTGATTACGCCATATTAAAGCAAGGTTTTTTTTTAAAAATGAAATGACAAGGCTATCCTTCAGTAAAGTTTGCAGGAAGGCAAAATTCGAACTATTATTTTAAACATCATTTTAAATGTATTCTTATAGACCTTTATTTTATTTATGAAACATTTTTTTCTCTGAGATACTTTTTTCATGTTTGACCCAGTCGAAAATGTTCTAATAATGAAGATAACTTTTAGTGCTGGTACTGTTAAATGTATGTTTTTATTAAAGTTGAAATTTAGCTATACGCAAAAAATTTTATGGATTATACTAGGGGTGCACAACCTTTTTGAGTGAAGGGCCACATGCGCAGGAGATTGACCAGTGAAGGGCTGCATGCCAAAGTATTTAGACGGCAATTGTTGGTAGTAATTGTTATATAAACATCATTGTTGTAGGCACTAAATTATTTTTGTCAGTTAACCTTGTAATATCTTTGCATGAAATGTTTAAAATTTTACTTTTAAATGAAATGTTTAAAATTGGAAACTTCAAAACTCATTACTAAAAAAAAACGGAATTTGAAAATCAGAATAAATTTATCCAAATTTTTTTTAGATAACTTAAATTATTTAAAAAACTATGGGAAAATTCATGTTTTTTTTAATCAGATTACATAATACAAAAGTCCATTTAAACATAAATTGTAACATAAAAAATTGGTTCATAGAATTAAATTTAAAGATAAATAAAAATTTCTAGTTATGAAAATAAATGCAAGTTTAATACCTTGATTTAACGAAAGTTTATAGGGTTAAAAATGATTAAAATTAAAACAAAACCCCTTCAGCAGAAAATAATATTTAGCATTTAGTAGGGAATAGTCTTTAACTTTATAACATTTATTTTAAATTAATTATAAGAGGCAGGGGCTGATAGAGGGAAGAAAAAGAAAGAAAGCATTAATTTTGAAGGAACTATTTTCCTTAACAAACTATTAAGATACTTGTTTACAATATTTATGACTAATATTTTTTTAACATGACACTTGTTGTTTACAATTAATACACACATATATTAACAATTAATAAAATTTACGTAACGAAATTTATTTTGATTACTTTTTTTTACATTAAAAATTTAATGATATACAAATCATTTCCCAGCATATAATCATAAATGATATAAAATGGTCCAAGTAAGTAGAAAATGGTTTAAAAAATGTCTTAATGGCTATCCTGTAATTTGCAAAATTTCTAAATATTGTGATAGTTTCATTCACTTGATCATGTGATAGCTTTTTCGTGCCATTAAATTAAAATTGAAAGATTTTGTTTAAATACTGATCTGTAATTTTGAACCGGCCAAACTCATTCTGGAAAACAGTCTTTTTACAGAAGCTGGTGTTATGGGTAGTATTAAACTTAGGGCAAATAACTTAATCAGTTTTGGAATTTGTCCTAGATGGTGTTCTTCCTTTCCGGATTTTTAAATTGCTTGAATGCAAATAGCGATGTGTTATTTTTTAATTTCGTGAATACAAATTGCTTTGTGTGATTTTTAAATTGCGTACATAAAAAACGCAATGCTTGGTTTTCAAATAACGTGAATACAAATCAAGATGTGTGGTTTTTAAATTGCGAAAAGAGTACTCACAACGCTGGGTTTTTAAAATGTGTGAATATGAGTTGTGAGAAATGTGATTTTTTAAATCATGTGACAACAAGAAGAATAAGTTGGGTGTGTGTTCTAAAACTTGCATGTGTTCATGGGACTAAAGAAATATGCACGTGTTTTGAATTATTTTATCTATATTAGGGGATGCGTTTAATATAGATATTCACATCTCGTTTATTTATAGGTATATATATGTTACGGTGGAACATCGAAATCTGGAGAATGTCGACATTCACATAGTCACTTGGTGTATGTCCGAAATATTTGCTAAATACTCTTATTTCTGGCTCTCACCGGTTAATGTCAACAATCACATAGTCGCTTTGGTGAATGTCCGAAATATTTGTTATATCCAATTTTATATTAATTTATTCGTTAATATTATTATATTTATTTGATATATTTATATTTATTCTATATTTTAATACTTACTGACGATAGATTAGAAGAAACATCAGTGTTTGGAGTATCGGGCAAATATATACCGGGCAATGGCACTTGACCTTAAAAAAACATCAGTGTAGGGTATACCGGGCAAATGTATACCGGGCAGTGGCACTTAACCTTAAAAAAACATCAGTGTAGGGTTAAAATATCGAATAAATGTAATTATATCCACGAATAAATTCATATCAAATCGAATGTAATAAATATTTCGGACATTCACCAAAGCATATCTGTGATTGTCGACATACACCGGTGAGGGTTCGAATGTACAAGAATGTAATGAAATATTCGATCTTTCACCGATGTATTTGGTGTTTGTCGACATTCACCGGTGAAGTCAACAACCACCGATTTCGGTCTTTCGCCGTGACATATATATCATTCTCTTAAGGAAGGTGTCGATTTAGCTAACATAAGTAATTAGTTTTTTAGTTTCGAAATTTTTTTTAAAACAGAATCGAATTTCATTAGTTGTAATAGTGTGTTAAAATATCAGGATATTCTAAATCACAAGTAAAAATAGAGCAATAACGGGGAAAAAAACACATTCGAAAAAACTCTTATATTTAGCTATGATAAAATTGCCACAAATAGAGCAAGTAAAAAGTAATTATTTTAGTGCGTGATTTAAAACTTACGTGTGGTCAAATTATAGTATTAAAAATATCTGAATTTTTTTAAATCACGGGGAGAAAGTCGTAAGAAGTACCAAAAGAATTATCAAAATACCTTTATATTTACAATAAAATTCGTGTAAATGAAGCACATTAAAAGTATCGCAATAGCGTATATAAAATATCGGGACTTTCAAAACCTTTTAGAAATGTGTAGCAATAATTGAAAAAATAATTTGTTTTGGATAAAATCGGTACAAATAAACCACCTCAAAAAATGTTTATCTAAATGAGCGATTCTTTACTTGCGATTTGTAATAATATTGTGCAATAATATTGAAAATTGTAAAACTATGTGGAAATACGTAGCTATAATAGCCGAAAAAAAGAGCAAAAGTCATTTAGATTTTGAGTGAAGTTTGCACAAAAACACCTTTTCATAAGTTTCAAAAATTGCGATTTCAGAAACTACGTAAAAATTGGTAGCAATAACTACCGAAAAGTCATTGGATTTACGATGAAATCGGCGCACACGAAGAGCGTCTAAAGTGAGATAACTGAAATTCGAAATTCGCATATTGTAATAATGATGTATTGAAAATATTGGGATTTTCAAAATTATGCTTAAATCTGTGGCGTTAAGCATCGAAAAACTACATTGATTGAAATTGGATGCGTCAAAAACTTAAATGCCGAAATTTAAAATGTTTGACTTTTTTTCATTTTTCAAAAAGAAAATAGAATTTTTTTTCCCATTTTGTTCAGATTGCGCCCGCCGGCGCAATATATGGTATAATCACCCCTAGATTATACCAAAATTGTTTTTGAACATGTGGGAAATATATATACATATATATAGAAATTTACCGGTCATAAATGCTTTTTATTCGTAGTAGCAATTTTTGAAAATATTTTCTTATTTTACCTTACTTTTGTGTTGAATTTTTAATATAATTTTTAATTTTCACAAGTTATGTATAAATTTCCCCAAAATAGGTACCACTTAAAAAAACCTAGATAGACCCTTGATGATGGAATTTTTAAGAAGAATTTACTTATGCTAAGGTACATCCCTAGTTTATAGAATTTATAAAAATGCTAATTATTTTATTCTTCTTTTTAGATTGAGATAACAAAGACTAAAATGGAAAGTTCTCTTCAGTATATCTGTGGCTCTGTAGCTGCTGCCATTACAGGTGCTGTTGCTACAGCAGCTGTGTATATTGCTACTAGGCCTCCTCCTAAATTAAAAAGAAACTTTGACCTCAATTCTCAATCAGAAGAGTTACCTGTAAGTTTGCCCAAAACTAAATTATGCATGCATATGTATAAATTATTAGACTCTATGTTTTTGAAAGCTTTGATAAATTATTGTTTACACTATCTATATTTCCCTGTGGCAGAATTTTTTCGGGCTTCTTGCGACAAAATTCTCTAGCACTAATATCTTTCTACAAGACACTTTCATTATAACAAAAATGTATGTTACTAATTTATGGTAACCAAAACACTGCATGTAAAAACAAAAACCAATGTAATTTTTTTATTATGTTAATTGAATGTGTAAAATTTTTTTGAATCTAATCTTATGGGCAAAATTCTCTCATTTTGTTGGGCAAAGGGCGCACTAATTATTTCCTTCAGCGCATTTTGTAAATCATCACCCCACTAAAAAAAATTTAAATATCATGAAATCTGTAGCAGTAATTGCCGAAAAACAGATCGGCGACGAAATCACGCGAATCAGACTTCTGAAAGGAGTTACTCAAGTGCATGTTTCGTTTCTAGATTTGATTGTTGTAATAAATATTATCGTATAAAAAATTTTGGGTTTTAAAAAATATATGGAATTCAAAAACAATAACTGCTAAAAAAAAAATTTGAAATCATTGCCTTGAAAAGTGTATGATCAAGTGCACGATTCAAATTTCGCATATCGCCTGAAATATATCAGGATATCTAAGAGTAATGTGAAAATCAATGTCAATAACTACCGAAAATACAATCAAAATGGATTTACAATGTCTGCATAAATTGAGTTCTTCAAAGAGGGATTATTTAAATGCTCAATTGAAATTTTATGTTTAAATTTATGCAGAAAAGCAAACTAGCATTTTCTACTTCCAAAAAGAAAAAATCTGTCTGCAAGAACTCTGTAAAGTTCTGCGACAATGTTGCCATGATTCTGCCACAGGCTATTTTTCAATGTATGAGTTGAGATTAATGCCTTAGGAAACAGTTCCTTGCCATCTACTCTAAACTCCATCCTGAGAATTTCTTTTTTGGGCAATCAGCTGTATATTTGGTTAAAATTATAGTCCTCACTTGGTTCTTATTACATTTCTATTATGAAGTGACTGCCTTTAATATATATTTTTGAACCTTTTTAAAATTGAGACCTTATAAAATAACTTTAGCTGTTGTTTCAACCTGTTGGCTATTAAGTTATTAACACTTATTTAATATTGTGTATATCTATTTACATTATTCTAAATAAAGTAAGTTTAATTTATAAGAAGTATCACAAAGAGAAAATTTTTGTCTAATTGTTGCGAAGTGTTAAAGAATAAATTTGTTGGAGACTCTTCCATTTTACCAGCACAAGTACAACTCAACTATTTTATTTATTTTTATTTTAAAAGTAACTGTTACTTGAAAAATAAAATAAAAAAACTAGTTTCATTTACTTGTGCCTGGTAACTGTGAAATCCACCATCAAAATGGAGCCTCTGTAGTAAGGAGCATAACTTGGTTTAAACAATAAATTTTTATTGTTAACTAATAATATTTTATTAAAAATGCCAGAAAGAAAAAGTTTCTTGATTGTTCATGCAAATTTAATTTTTTTAAAACTTAATTATAAATTTAATTAATTTGATTTTTTTCAGATTTTTTTACTTTTAATAAAATTTTGTAAACTTTTTTTAAGATATTTAAGGAATTTTCGTCTATAATTTGTATATAAGTGAAATATTATGAAAAATAAATCCTTACAATTTATTTAAATCTATAATAGTACATGAAATTTTTTTAGAGTAATATGTAATGCACGTAAATGCATGATACAAATTTATTGAAAATGCTATAGAAATCGGGAATGGCAAATTTCTTCCAGAGTAGAAAAAACTGCCCAGGAAGAAATACATTTTTGCAACTTTAGTGGAAGAAATGTAAAAGAAAAAGAAATATCTTTTTAAAAAAGAAATATTAAATAAAGATTTTAAATATTGAATAATTGCTAGTTTTAAATTATAATGTTCATTTCCTATCCATTTATTACATCTTTTTTAGCCAAAATGAAAAGCAAATATTAGAAAGAAAAAAAAATTCAATGACTTTCTTAAGAAATCAAAATAACTGTCTTTTCTTTTAGGGCTTTGCTTAATTAAGTATACTGGTAGAACTTAAATGTATAACTATTCCAACCAATTTCCAGTTCTTATGTCGACATGTTGATTGCAACAGTGCATTTCCAAAAAATCAGTTTTTCAAAATAATGCTTCATTGGGTGACAATTTATACATTCCCGACTGTCTGGAAAAATGTTGTATTTTTGTAGAAAGGCCGCTGCATCTTTTTCGTTAGTCTGTAAATCCCATATTCGCATTCCTATACTTGCACTTGCCATTGGATCTAGCATTTATAACAAACACAAAAAAGCAGGAAAGTGTTTCGAACGGAGAAGCTTATGATTGCTACTATGAAAAAACTAGGTTTGTTAGGGTTTTTGGTACAAGAGCCAGTCTTGGCTATATCTCGCCTCCAACTAGGTAGATATTTTACAACTAGGTTCACAATTCTGTTTTGGTTTAAAAACTAAACTAAACTAAACTCAGCGGCGCAGCAGTCCTTGAGGGCCAAGGTCTACTGTGTCCATCTCAGTTTTCTTGACCTTGGGCTCTGGGGTGCAGGAGCAGATGTTCCGGTCAGGTGGTCAGCTGAACGCGGAACCACCAGTGTTTAGTTCCCAAGCATGCTTGGTACTCATTTATCGACCCACTGAAGGGATGAAAGGCTGAGTCAACCTTGCCCGGCCCGAGGATTGGACCAGGGACCTGTGGCACAACAGCGCGAAGCGCTACCGCTCAGCCACCGGGCGTCTGGTTTAAAAACTAGATGGATGTATAAATGCCAATGTCCTTAAGGTATGAGAAAATGTTAGACTGAGGATCATCTCCAATTAGTGAAAACAATGTCAGATGGAAGGTGCTAAAATGACGTAGTCTCTAGTTTTTAAATTTACTACACTCAATCAAAATATGTATAACAGTTAAAAGTTCTTTACAATTTGTGCATTCTGGTTCATTTAGAAAAAGGTGTTTATGAGTTATTTGTGTGTGACCAATACGCAGGCGGTTTAAGAGCACTTCAAGTTTTCGACTGATGTTTAACTGTTTATGAGGCTGTATGTAAGATTTAATGGCGTGTAGTTTGTTATTTGTTTCATTCTTCCAACAGTTTTGCCGTTGTGAATCGAGCATATTTTGAATTGATTTTTTTACATCAGAATAAGTCAATGATTTGTTCCATAGACTGTTTGTTAATTTTGCTATTGAGTCAGTAACTTCGTTTCCTGTTATTTTTGCTTGACCAGGGATCCAACAAAAAGCTACTTTATGTCCATCCTGTAACAAATTGTCGTAAGTGTCTAAAATTTTATTGAAGATGGAGTGAGGTGTAGGAGATCGGTTATGCAGCGCTTCAATGCAACTTTTTGAATCGGAATACAGGGGGTGATCGGTTAACGAACATAATCCGTTCCATGACTATGTTCGCTATCCGATTTGTTCGTTAACCAATCATCGATTCACCATAGACTTCTATGTGAAATCGATTAATTCGTTCTGGAGACCCTAAAAATTCAATTTAAAAGAATGTATAATTTCTTATTAAGTTTTTTAAAAAATAATACATACATATAGTCTTGCATATTAATCAGTCCTTTTCATTTTTTGCTTATGGGGCGTTGAAGAACATGTCCAATGTCGATTGCTTTTCTCTCTCTTTCAGGATTTTCCGGAAGTAATTAATAGCATTGTCGTTGTAAAAATCCCCAACCCTACTGACATCAGCTTAGTTTGGGTGCCATTCTAAGACCATTTCTCTGACATCCTCCCACTTTTTCAAAAGATCTTTAACGGCTGATGTCGGCATTGGTATCCTCTTTCGTCTTCCTTTTGTTCAGAAGGCACATTTCGCTGTGTTTCTTGGTGTTCTTCATTCAAAATTTCTTGGAGTTCTTCTGTCGTCAGTTAATCTATATGTCCCATTATGAGCTCTTCTATGTCATCCTCGTTCACCTCCAATTCCAGATCTCTAGCAGTTGTCAAAATTTCATCCTTAATTTCAGGGGTGTCTCCCTGATCACCTCCGTCACCTTGAATGAAGGATGGACAAAGCTTCCGCCAAGCAGAAATCAACTGCCGCTGTGTGACTTCTGACTACGCCTTTTGAATGATTCGAATAGCTTCAAGAATGTCAAATTTTTCTTTCCTAAACTTTTTTGAAGTCATTGTTGAGGAGCATTGGCTTTCTTTAAAACACCGACGAAACAGCGCGCGAGTGTACAATTTCTTGAAAGCCGCAATAACCTCCTGATCCATCGGCTGAATCAGCGAAGTCGTATTCGGAGGTAAAAACTGAACTGTCAGCCAGGGAAAGTCTGTCAACAAATTATCTTCAAGATCCTTTGGATGTCCTGGTGCATTGTCCAATAGCAGCAGTGCTTTCAACGGCAAGTCATTGGTATCAAGGTAGTCCCTGATGCTAGGGGCACAAACTAGCCATTCCTTGAAAAGATACTGTGTGACCCATGCCCTCTGATTCGATCCCNCTGATTTAAAAGTTGCACATTGCGATTCTTATTTACGCTATTTAAATATCGTATATTATGATTCTTATTTTCGACATTTAAAAATCCAATATCGTGTTTTGTATTTATGCATTTTTAAAATCTCGATTTTATTATCAAATCTCGATTTTCGTATTTACCAGATTTAAAAGTTGAACGTTGCGATTCTTATTCAGGCGATTTAAATATTGTACAGTGCGATTCTTACCTACGAGATTTAAAAAATCAATATCGCGATTTGTATTTACGAGCTTTTAGCATATGTAGCAATTCGTATTCACGTGAGCTTAAAATCCAATATCATGATTCGTTTTTGTGGTTGTAATATCGCGCGATTTAAAAATTATGCATCGTGATCAAAAAATTAAAAAATCGTGATTTATATTTTCGCATTTTTTAAATTCGATGTAGAGTTTCATATTTACGTGATTTAAAAGTCTCATATCGGGATTTATATTCACATGGTTTACAAGTTTAAAAATCGCACTTTTTTGTCAAATTGTATATATATTTTTTCTTCTTTTTTTTTTCTTTTTTTTTGTTTTTTGGATTTCCTCTTTTTTACTTTCTGACTACTCTCATCCCTGGTGATCTTATTTTGTATGCAAAATGATAACAAACGTTTAATAGTACTTTTTTTTCAGGCTGAGAAGTGTTCGTTAGAATTCGTTTTGTTCATTATCCGAATATGTGTTCGTTGTCCGAACACAAAAAAACTTTCTTGAAAGTGTTCGTTATTCGAATATGTGTTCGCTAACCGAACACAAAAATCTTTCGTGAAAGTGTTCGTTAACCGATTTGTTCGTTAACCGATCACCCACTGTATATAAACCATTTTGTGCGTTTCTGGGTTAATATGTACTGAAGTGCTAAGAGTATGGCATGAGATTCAGCAGTAAATACTGAGAAGTTTGGATGAAGTTTTTCTGAAATGGTACAATCAGGAAGTTTAACTTCGCTTGCCGTGTGACCTTCACTTTTAGACCCATCGATATAAATAGATTTATTGTCAGAATATTCTTCTCTATGAGATTTAAAAGTCTGTTGATAAATAACATCTGTTGTTTGTCCTTTTGTCAAATTGTTAAAAACGTTTAAGGTTTGAACCTGGGTCAATTTCCAAGGAGGTTTTGGCGGACAAGACGGTAAGATACTAAAATCCTCTAGATTAAGATCAGAAAAAACTAGGAATCTGTAAGATTTTCATTGTCACCACGTTTGCCTGCAAAACAATTTATTCAATAACCAACTCTTACAGATGTATACAAAAAAATGCATTATTTTTTTTTTAAATTTGAAAAAAAGATTTTTAAAATATTTTTTCAAAAGTGCCTTAATTTATTACACACCATGCAAGTATTCATATAATCTTTCTATTTGATCTTCATTAACAAAAAATTTAAGCACTCTTATATTAAAATACTTTGTGAATTCCAATTGAATAATTGATGATTAAAATAAATAATTTGATTTTAAATCAATGATTGTTTTAAAATCAATTGGTTTAATTACAATTTAAATCAAGATCATTTACATTAGTTGACCTTGTATGTTTATAAGTATCTCTTTAGAACCATTTACTCAATACTTGCAGTCAAATAAGTGACAGGGAGGACCCCATCTGTCTTACCATTAAATTCTAGTTGAAGCCTCTGGACAATAGGATGCTAAAGTTTGATAAGATATTGTGACTGGTCATTGCAGAAGAGGATTCTATTTCAGTTCAGAGAATGATTTCTGTTCTTGACCAAATATTTGTAAATAAAGATTTTGTGACAGATGTGGGAGAAACAGCTATACTATTTCTCTTTGCAACCTAAGACATGAAATTTGCAAAGAAATTGTATAATTTTCTGCCATTAAGAGATGTTAGTGATAATGTATTTCCCAAAAGGAGCATTGCATTGGTTCCTTATAGTAATTCCTAAAGATAGACATTAAGTTTAATTATAAAAAACCTAAATGTGTTTTTCTTTAGTATTCAAATATTTAGTAATAAAAATTAAATAGCTTTGAATTATTTTTCAATTATTTTTTTTATTTCCAGGTAACTTTTTTTCTGTAATTTCTTTGTTTCTGAGTTATACACTTTTGAGTATATGCACTTTTACATCCTGATTTAATGAGTCATGTCTTTATTATAAACAAATTCCATTCTTTCTCTCTTAGTAATATATGTATGTACAAGTGAATAATTATATATATATTTGTAGAGTGTAATCAATCTAATTTAGTACTTTTCAACAATTTAATATTTATAACAATTCAATATTTTCAACATTTAACAATTTAATATTTTCAACAATTAAATTCAGTACAATTTCAACAATCTATATATATATTTCTCTTACACGGCGATAAAAAAAAGCCTCATTACAACTCCCCGAATGGCAACGCTAGAAAATCGACCAATCATTGTGGCTAAGAATGTCACATGGTGAGGAATGAATGTCACAACAGTTTTAATTTTTAATTGATTGGATTCGGCGCGCAAGAGCACGTAGTGAGCATCATATGGCTAATCCATGTTATATAAAACGCTAATACGTTTTAATTGATAGGCTTCGGCGCGCAAGAGCACGTAGTGAGCATCATATGTCTAATCGGGTGAATTCTCACCGAATTATCAAAAAAATTCTCACAAAATTATCTTCATCGAAGCCGATGCTTTACATCCGGCGTTCAGTACTATTTCATATTGTTTTACAACACATGGTTTTAGCCCTCTGGTGGGAAAGACTTTAAAACAAAACTTACAACAGTTACTTTTCTCAACAACTGAAATTTAGAATAGTGTGATTAAGAAAAATATGTGAACTGTTTGCAATTTCAAATTAATATTGAAATGTACAGGTTTAGAATTTTCTACAGTGAAAAGTTTTCGGAACTTAAGTGTTCAAAAAAGTATACAAAAGCTAGACGTTAAGAACATATCCAATGAGCGAGTAAAGCGAGCATCGGATTGCGAAGCCATCCGAAATGAACTGCGAAAGCAGTTCCGGGGGTTGGCGAGCACCAGCAAGCAGGGGGCGAAGCCTCCTAGTTTAATATAATTCAGTACTTACTATTGTTTGCAAATTTGTCTTTTGGTTTTCATTCATAAATAAATATTATTTCCTAGTTTTTATGCTTTCAAACTGTTTTGAATAGTTGTGGGTATTTTCTCTGATATTTTTTTTTCATCTCTATCATCAAGAGCAAGCATTAAATTAGATATTGAAGGAATTGAAAAGTAATGGAAGTGTGTTGCAGTCAATATACATGTCATTGACTTCTTTAGCCACATAATTTTATTTTGAAGAGCCAAAGTTTCTGTTGGATCCTGAGAAGTCTACTTTATTAAAACACGTTTGTAACATATTTTAATTGTCACTGTTCAATGCTGCAGAAATAAAATTCTAAGCTTCTAGAACATTTTTATTTAGAAGAATCATGCAGGTTACCTGAATGAAGAAAGAGAAATGAATATCTAACCAGCGTAAAGTTTTTAAACGAGTGAGTTATTCCAAGATTCAAAAGTTTAAGTTTGCTGAAAAAGATTAAATTCACAAAATTTTACAAAGAACTCTTCTTGTGCATTGCTGTCCGACCTCCCTCCTGATTTTAACTCTAAATTCCATCTCACAGACAAAAAGGCAATAAGGTAGCATCGAAAGAATGTCTAAACAGCTTCAAACTTCTCCCTTTTTTAAAGGAAAAAAAAAGATCAGTAGAGAAAAATGATTTTGATCTGTTAAGAAAAACTTGTAAAGCAGGATTTTCTCTAAAAGGGTTACATAAAATCTGGGAAAATGTTACGTTATTGGAATATGCTATTTTTACAGCCCAACAGAAAATGACGTAGGAAGCAGGATAACATATGAAATGGCCAGCATGAAAACCGCACTCCACTGTATTTTTTTAGAATCTTTTTTAAAGTGAAGTCTCAAAAGTATGCACAGTATAAAGGAAAAACAATTGGGCGAAGACTCTGTATTTGATGAAAACAATTTTATTAAGATCTGTTGAAGAGTGATTAAAATTTGTCAAAAACAAATTTCATTTGAGGCATAACCTATGCGAAGGACAACACATTTCAGTCCTACCAGACCAGATTTTTGCTTATTTTAATCCTTACTTAACCTAATATATTCTTTGACCCAATAAGGCAAAGTTTGATAACTTATCCCCTTCCCCTAAGTACTGCTTTGTGACTCTTATCTACTTTCTTACATCCGTTTTTCAAAAATTTTTGAAATATATATGATTGTTAATCATTGTGGTGTATTTATTTATATTATTTTATTACATGCCATATGAACCTGAATTCTAAAATAACTTATCTGTATACACTTCTGAATAAGGAGTGCTAACATTTGTAGATCTGCATTTGTTCTTAAAATTATAAAATAAATTGGTCTTTGAAAAATTATTCGATACTTCTTCCTTTTTTAGGGCGGTGAGCATGTGAGAATTTCACATTTGACTCCCAAAGCTCCTCATGTATCGTATATTTATGAGGATGCTCAAACACTGTACGAGTGCATGATAAGAGGTTGCAGAGTGTCAGGTAATTATTTTCTTTTAATGATACATTGTATTTACTTTGATAAACTTTTATATATTATTTGTTTTCAACTATTCTACTAATCTCTCTCTTTTTTAATTAACCACGGTAGTTGTCGAGATAAATTTAAAAGTATATATATGTTTGTCTGCAAAAATATGTATATTTTTTAAAATCAAATTTCAATTTTTTTTTCAGAAATTGTCCATTAATTAATCTATATTATTTTAATTCAAAATAAAAGAGTAATAAAAATAAATATAAAATAAAAATGTTAAAAAAACATTTTTTTTTATTGACTTATTTCTTTTATTTATTAAATATTGATTTAAGATTTCTGTTGGAGTGGTTTTGATTCAAACCTAACTTTCTGTGTTTTTAATGTAAGTTAATTTAAAGGGAGTGAAAGTAAAATTTAGGTTAAAGTAATATTAATAGTTTAAATTTGAAAGTGGAAAGGTTAAAGATTAAATTTTGAATTAAAAAAAGAAGAAAGAAGACTGAGATGTGATCGTTAATCAAAAGAATAAGTGGTTAGTACAAAGAGAAACAATAATCAGCAATGGTTCTTGTAAGTCAGAAAAAAATTAGTAAATGAAAGATAAAAAGCATATTACACCAGTAAACACCTCACTGCTCATTTATAATGTAAGTAAGGAATATATATATATTAACAAAATAAAGGACTAAGTCTTACATGATCTGGAACAAAGAACAAACAAAAAACATGGTTAAACAGGTTACTCACTCCTTGTAGAGACTCTTTTCTGAAGAGCTGAAAAGAACGCTTATTGATTTATCCAGTAAGTGAGCACAATATTAATCAAAACATTTTATTGAGGTATTTTTTCATTATAAAAATGATAGTTACATTAAAGTTAAAGTATAACACCTGAAAGGGGTTTTGCCTTGAATGCAGGGCTAAAATGAAACTGGCGAGAACATCTTTACACAATTATCATTAAGGATATGCTATCTTAATCTAAATTGCTTACATAATGCAAGCAGGAGTTCAAATTTAGTAGATATGAAGAATAACCAAAGATGTCGACATGGTGGCTCAAAGTAATACTAAATGACCAGGGATCTGGCGTTAGACTGACAGAAATTAGCCTGCTAATTAGAGGGAAAGGAGTGAAGGACCAAACAGAGCCGTGAGAGAAGAAACCTCACCTGAAAAGAGTTGCGAAGAAGCAAGAAGAAAGTAACAAAAAAAAAATTCAATGCGAAGAAAAAATACAGATTTATTCTCGCAGTTTAAATTAAAGGTGTAAACATCTGAAAATCAATGGCAAAATTATGTCAAATTCAGGGATGAGATTCTTCCACAGATTTGCGGATTTCCGCTTTTTCTCAGATTTTTCCATTTTCCCCGCTAATTTCCGCCGAAATTTTTTTTTGCACAAGTTAAAATATTTTATGAGGAATTTAATTTTCCGTGGAGCGAAATTATTGAAGTCCTCATTCCTCCCTCTGAAGTTTCTCTAAAAATCATTTCCTTGGGATAAAACTGGTTGACCTTTATACAGGGATGAGATTTTTTTCGCTTTTTTCTCTCGAATTTCAGCCTTTTTATCAAAAACTCAGATTCTCTAAAAGTTTCGTTTTTTTTTTTTATTTATTTATAAATATCCCGTTTTTTTT